ATCAATTTGTAATGTAGGATTAAATTGTGAAAAGATGCCATATTATATTAAAAACACATAGTAAACATAAATTACCCATAAAAGTGCCATTTTATTCAGGCTCAAACATAGTTATTTTGTTACATTTGCAACGAAAAGCTAATGACATAGATAAAACATGGATGTAGATTTTTGCTTGTCGATAAGTTCAACGGTGGATTTGTGCATAGTTTGTGTTTGGAGGTTAATATCAAACTTCCTAGTTCCAACTAGTTCACAGGAAGATTTCTTTTTTTTTTTCCCTAATTAATTTGATCTATATTCTTGAAAACAAATAAAAATAAAAATTACTCAATTTTAAAGTTGGCAGGTAGAACATTTCCACTTCAACATAAATGTCTCAAAAATTAATATTATTAGAACCAAAACCCTCTTAGGCACTTGACACTACTGGTAAACCGAGTATATTTGACAAAAAATACTGTTGATTATATGGAGATTTCTGTTGATTATAATTTAATTGACAGACATAATTAACAACTATATCTGTCGTAGAAACCAGGGTCAAAAATGAATATATTCGATAGAAAATTTTTCTATCGAATATAAACCAATAATCGACAGTCATATTCTGTCGAATATAACATAATCGATCGAATTTGACTGATAATAATGGTTTTTGCATTTTTGACTGGTATAATCTACAAAAAGTATTTGTCAAACATATATATTTTTTTCAGGAATTTTATTCGACGGCTAAATGCTATCGATTATAGAACTTTAATCGACAGCCATAGACTGTTGAATATGTTTCTTTTTTTTTTGGGAATTTTATTCGACAGTCGAATGTTGTCGATTATAGTACTTCAATCGATAGCCTATGACTGTCAAATATGTTTTTTTTTTTTTTGGGAATTTTATTTGACAGCCTCTGGCTATTGAATATATTAGGCAATAAAATAAAAAAAATTCAAAATTTAACAAAATTCAGAATTATTTTTATATATATTTTTGTTAATTATATATATATAAAATCAATAAAATGAAATTTAACACAATCATCAAGTCCCCCAAACAATACATTTATGAAATAATTTCAACAATAATATAAAAAAAATAGATAAACATAAATAAAATTAAATGAGCATGAACCTTAATTATGTTGAGATTTATTCATGTTCCTGCCAAAAATGAAGAAAAAAATGTATATCAAATAATAACAATTCAAAAAGAAAATAAAAAGTATAAATTACAAAAATTACCTCGTAATTAAAATATTAAAATCTAAAAAAAAAAAGTATTAGTATATAAAATAATAAGAATTCAACAAAAAAGAGAAAAAAATGAAAAGAAAAAAGATGGAATAGGTATTAATGAATAATGACATAAAACTAAAGATATTTACAAAAATATAAATAGGAGAATATAAAAGATGAAACATAAAAAAGGAGAAGAAGCTAAAAGAAGAAATGGGACGTTACCTGTGGAAAGCAGAAGGAGAAGGGAAAAGGTAAGCAAAGATGAAAACCAGAAGGGAACAAGATGTTCTGATATAAGAGGGTGTATATATAATCAAACATATACGACAAAAGTCCTGTTGATTATACTGGCATGCTTATGTCGATTATATTTCAAATTTAACTAGCTGAGAAATTTAATTTTTTTGGGAGGAGGTGTGGCGGGCATTGATTATAATCGACAAAAATATTTTTTGTCGAATATACTTATAATCGATAGCTATTTTTTGTCGATTATAAGTATAATCGACATAAAATGGCTGTCGATTATAGTCCACAGTTTTTAATTTATTTTTTATTTTTAATTCTTATATTTAAATTGATATACTATCTCTCGAAACTAATGGGCAATTTGGTTTATCTAATTCTTTCTTTTTTGTTTTCTTACTCTCTTTTTTTGAGTTTCTTTTTATTGATTCTCTTGTATAATTTTTAGTTTTAAAGTTAATAAGAATATTTTTTTTATTCTTGTTATTGATTCTAAAAATCTAGTTTAGATAAAGATAAATATATGCTATTTCTTTGCAAAAATTACATTGTAATTTTTTTCTTTTTACTATAGGATTGTTAGATTTTTTTTATTAATATTATATATTATGTTAATCTAAACTCTAACATTGTATAACTAATACTAGTTTAAGTTAATAAATATATACTAACTTCTCATCCAATGCAATATATATATATATAAATACATATGCACTACATATATATAAAACATATATAATATAAGTTTACAATATCAATGTCTCTAAGTTGGAGGTGGAAAGTAATCAGGTCTAGACCTGCCAAAAGAAGGACCAACAGTTTGAGGAGGTGCAGAAGAAAGACCACCAATCTGGGGTTGTGTAACATTTATAGAATATTGCTGGCTAAGTAAGCACCTTTGCTCTTGGAATCTCCTCTCAAAACTAGCCTCCAACTCTGATACTCTCTGTGATACCTTTGTATAAATACGTGTGGTCACTTTTGTCTAAACTTGTTTAACCATTTCTTTCCGAGCTTGAGTAAGCTCAAACTGCAACTACTGGACTTATGACATAAGAATCCTGGTGGTAGAAGAGGAAGCCTCACTCATGAGTACTTCCCTCTGTCGTTTTTTTGTTATCCTAACCTCTTAATTTTATTTAAATTAACTTAATAATTGTATATAGTAAATGGACGTCCATTAAAATTTTTTTTATCTAAATGAAGATATTCAATCAAAACTACATATAGAAAAAGAATTTAATTATGATTGATTTACTATATAAAATAATCTACTCAAACTTTATACAAAAGTTAATTTAGGATGATTAAATTAATCTAAAGAGAGTATAAAATATGAAAAATCTTTAATATAAAAAGATTAATGTTGTTTTTAAGATTGATATGAGGCATTATAACTGTAATTTTTTCAATATTTTACTATAAAAAAATGGCTTAAGTATTGAAAAAGGACCCCAATTTTTACTAAATTCTCAATTGAGGTCCTCAACATTTATTATGCTCAATCAAGGTCTCAAACTCATGCAAACTCTCAAATAAGGACCCAATTGGATGGAATCCTAAACATCCGTTTAAGTCTAACATGACTCCCGTTATAATCAGTTACCCCTCAATACCTGGCATGCCAACCAGACAATAAAAAGTATTCTCAGACGTGCCATGTTGTAATCCCACATCTCTCAATTTTCTGCCATCTCTCCTCTTCCTTCCCACTCCACGATTTGGGGGCAAAATCCCTATAATTTTCAGTTTGCTTCTTTTCTGTGCAGGGTCTTCTTCTCCACCCAACAGCAGCCCACCCTGTCCCTACAACTTCTCTACCCAACGGCCGGCCTCTCTCCGTGCAAGTTCTTCTTGTTCTCCACCCAACAGCCGGCCTTTCTCCATGCAAGATCTGCTTCTTCTTCTTCACTGAGCAGCCGACCTTTCTCCACGCAAGATCTGCTTCTTCTTCTTCACCGAGCAGCCAGCCTTTCTCCACGCAAGATCTGCTTCTTCTTCTTCGTCGAGTAGCCGGCCTCTCTCCGTGCAAGTTCTTCTTGTTCTCCACCCAACAGTCGGCCTTTCTCCATCAAGATTTGCTTCTTCTTCTTCGCCGAGTAGCCAGCCTCTATCTGTGCAGGATCTTCTTGTTCTCCGCTCAACTATCGGCGGTGCAAGATCTTCTTCTTCTCCGCGCAACAGCAGCTCACCCATTCCCTAGAAGTTTCCCAAGCAATCTCTAGTCCCATTCCACAAATTGGGGGCCGAAATTCCTAGAATTTTCACTGCCAATTCCTTCCCCATTACTTCGATCTTGATCTTCTTCTTCTCTTGTTTGGTGCTATTGATTTCCTATTAGCCTTCCTTGCCACTAACACCAGCCCACCCAACGGCCAATCACTAGTCCCATTTCACGTTTGATTACTGCAAAGAAAGGAAATTGAAAATCCTAAAAATTGAGATCAAGGTCACATGCTGTAAAAATGATAGGAAACACATATATAAACATTTAAACAAAATGTAAAAATAATTAAGAAAAAGGTTAATTAAAGACGGAAAGGTTTTAACACTATCAACACCCTAAATTTAATGAGATACAATAAAAAAAAAAAAGTGATTAGGAATAAAAAAATAATAAATTAAATTAATTGGCCAAATAAAATTAAAAAAAATTAGGTGCAATTGAGATCAAAAGTTTAAATAAAAAAATAAATTCAAAAATTAATAAATATATTAAAATTATTGAAAAACTCAAATAAAACCATATAATTGTACTTGTATGCTGTTGAATCCATACAAAAATACAAAAGAAAGTTGTTTAAAAGATCACACCAACTAGTGAAAGCCTCAAAAACTTTTTAAAATTCTCAGAAGTTGTTTTCTATTGTCCTAGTTACAAACAAAAGTTTTAGGGGTTTTATATTAAATAAGTATTAAATAGTCAAAGATGGGAAAGTAAAAGGAGTCTTGTGGGATCCACCTTGTCTAAAAGATCTGCCATGTTGGACAATTTTTTTACTGTCAGCATTATGGGTCCAATCGGCATGCCACATGTTGAGGGTTGTAACGGATTATAACGGGTCATGTTAGACTTTAACAGATGGTTAAGATTCCATCCAATTGAGTCCTTATTTGAGAGTTTGCATGAGTTTGAGATCTTGATTAAGCATAATAAATGTTGAGGACCTCAATTGAGAATTTAATAAAAGTTAAGGTCCTTTTCCAATACTTAAGCCTAAAAAAATTGTATTATAATTTAATAGTTACTTTGAAAATATCAATTAAAATTAATTAAAATTATAATAAATTATAAAGTATCAATTAAAATTAATTTAATTATAATAAATTAACACTTATAAAATAAGGTGTAAAAAATTGAGATGAAAAATAACTCCAAATGCAATTTAAAGTTTCGATTGAGAACGTTGAGATGTGATTGTAAGTTTTATAATTTTTTACTATTCTAAATATAAAATATTTAATATTTATTTTGCGTAATATTTATATATTTTTAAGTGACAAACTTAGCGTAAAGCACTGAAAACGTTCTGTGGAATCGACTTTCAATTGAAGTACATACACTTTTGGACTACTCAGTCCATGAAATTCAATTGCCAATAAATACCTTGCATCACAATCCAGTGTGGGATGAAAAATAAGAACCATGTCTAGTTTATAGAAAGGGTACAAAGCATTAGTTGACAATGTTGACAGAAGACTCGTAATTATTATAGTCTGCTGACAACAAAAACAAATGGTCAATATATAAATGAAAACCAAGGATGAGAGCCGACTCTCATTTAGGTAGGCTGCATATGCTTCACTAGCATTCGGCAAGCATAATAAATAGCTCCTCGTCTGTAATGGCTCCCTTCTCCATTGCCCTCTCTAACGCGCTTAGTCCTCCATTATCTTTAATTGATGGGTTTGCACCTCTGCACATCATAGGTAATACAATAGCAATATTATCCAAGGAGAAGACATCAATAAAAAATATGTTGTCCATTTCATACAACCTCTTTTCCTGCTCACCAAAAAGACTACATTTCAAATAAACTCTACAGGAAAAGAAACCCAGAAGTTGAGGAGACCTCCAGAACTTAACAACCTATATCTACAAATCCTTGTTAATTAGAACTACATAAACAAACATAACAATTATTTATATGCAAGACTAACGAGATGATCTGTCATAATCAAACCATAATAGCTTATGCCAGAAGCTTTATGTTCCAGAAATAAGTCTTCCATCTGAAGCTAATCCAGAAAATCTAAGCAGCATGTATTAGTACCACATAAATGTTCTAGTGAGTAGAGTCAGTTTCTTTGTGATTTTTCCACCTTCCAGATTTATAAAAAAGAAAAGAAAAAGTTTACTAAAAGAAAAGGAAAATTGTACAGATTTGATTATCAGTACCATTTATGCAAGTATTAAAACTGATGACCTTATTGGAAAATCTAATATCTACTTCAATTTACCTTCGAAGTAGAAACTTTGCTAATAGGTTGTTCCCCATGGCAATGCAATGGTGCAAAGGAGTCTGGCCATGGGAGTCACGCATGTTTATATCAGCACCAAATTGCAGCAAAAGTTCAAGCATCACGGAGTTGCCACAGTGACATGCCAGATGCAATAACGAACAACCTTGTAGACAATTCCCTGGCTCGTTGTTGTCATTGATTCTCTGACAAACAGCTGGATCATACTCTGCTTTTTCTCTTTTTTCACCTTCAAGTAGTGAGTCTTGCACATCAACAATATGGTGATGCAAATCCACACCAATGACATCATCAAAGGTGACATTGACAATAGTGATGTCTGACACTACAATTAGACGATATACTTCTCGTAAATTATGAGCCTTAACTGCTTGCCAGATATTTGTGGCGCCAGGAAGAGTACCAGATTGAGTTGCATCTCTGATGATTAGCGCTTTGTCAACATACTGGATAAAGAGCAAATGAGCTTAGGCTTCATATTCAACATTCAATATCACACACTTTTAACAAAAATATTGAGTCTAGAACATGAAGAACAATATACATTATAGCCATGATTGATCACTTTATCACACACTAGAAAATGTTTTAGCATATCAATCTAGTGCAGCCTAAGAAAAAGCAACAGTTTATATCCAAAAAAAAAAGGGCCCTTAGCTGTCTATTGAATTTAGCACTTAATTGAAAGAATTTGAAGTTTCAGGTTTGCAAGGCTCAAAACCTGAAACTGAGTTAGTGGGCTGCAATTCCACTGTCATAAACTTTGTCCAATGCCACATGACATAGGTTAGAAGAGGGTTTAAATAATAGTAGACCGCTAAGCCAAAACCATGTGCTGGTTTTTAGAAGAGTTAAAAACCATTTGAGGCCACCTTTAGTTTCATTTTTCTTTCGTGTCTGACAGAGCGAACCAGAGAAGACCTTGCGGGTTGCAGCTTCCCAATTAATTCTCAATTTCTGCAATATTTCAGCAACTTGGCTGCTTAATATTGTTATCCTAAGGAAAGTATAAGTTACAATTATAATGGTTGGGTTTTAAAAGAGAAATTAAATTTGTGATTGGTTGAATGTGTAGAGAGTTGGATTAAATTAAAGAATCTGAATTCGCAAGTTTGTATGTTTGTGTTAGGAGTACTAACCGGAAGACAAAGTTACTAATGACAGATTTTTTTATGATATACTAGCAAGTGGTTCAGGCCTGTGGGAAGCTGGTAGGGACAAGGAACACAGGTTCAAACGCTTGCCCTAAGGGTGTGGAAGCCTCTTACACTAAGCCACTTCAACTACCAAGGCTCCACAATATGAGACATGTTATTACTGTAAATATCATATAACAGTGTTATCAATTGATATGAGACAAATGCCATATTATTGAGTATTTCAGCAAGTTCAACCCTTGTAAAATATCCTATTTACCATTATCAATAGCAGATAGTGACAAATAGCAGAAATGCCAAAATCTGCTATGATTTCATGTTGGATAGCATGGTGGCCATTAAAAATACCAAAATAATAATAACAATAATAAAAATACATAGAATTAAAGATCTAGTAGGAAACACAAGGCATAAAATGACTTAATATATTATAAATTTTTTTTTTAAAAATACACTATTTTCAAGAAAATACACATCTACTTGACAAAGAGATGTAAAGAATAAAGACAGCAGATACATTGTAAAATTCAATTATCAATATGAGACATGTTATTACTGTAAATATCCTATAACAGTGTTATCAATTGATATGAGATAAATGTTATATTGAGTATTTCATCACTTGGAGAGCAAGTTCAACCCTTGTAAATATCCTATTTACCGTTATCAATAGCAGATAGTGACAAATAGCAGAAATGCCAAAATCTGCTATGATTTCATGTTGGATAGCATAGTGGCCATTAAAAATACCAAAATAATAATAACAATAATAATAGTAATACATAGAATTAAAGATCTAGTAGGAAACACAAGGCATAAAATGATCTAATATATTATAATTTTTTTTTTTAAAAAAATACACATAATATTCTCAAGAAAATACACATCTACTTGACAAAGCGATGTAAAGATAAAGACAGCAGATACATTGTAAAATTCAATTATTTATAAAAGTGAAGAGGAACATTAGCTGATAGCAACAGAAATAGAAGTAGAGATGTAATGCCCCAATCCCATATCAGAAGAATAGTAGGATTGTGAGTGGTATATAAGAGTGAAGACCAGCCACTGCTAGCAACTTATATTTGAATTTTGAGGGCCCATATTCCTTGACTGGAAGAGTTGTTAGGCTAGTGGGGAGTTTCAATAGGTATCAAAGAAGTTCCCTTGCAAATGTGAATCCATACAGGGAGACCTCAGCATGGGGTATTGGAGGAGTTCCCCTTGGTCTAGCAAGGACTTTGGGTGGCATGGTTAGGCTTCGGCCTTTGAAATCTCACATGGGTAGATCCTATGATTGTGGGAATTCACTAGAATATTGGAATATATAACTAAAAGAGGAAGAAATTTACCTTAGTGATGAATTTTACAGGTCTTTATTAAGGCTGTAATAAAATTCTGATGGATAAATATTTGCAGACTCAAAATTTTTGGTCTATACTCTTGAAGAAGGCTTCTGTGTAGACCTCGCAAGTGTGTGGGATCAACTAGGTTTGAGTTGGGTTATCTTGGGTCTTGGGTCTATCAGGTTGGGTTACTTCGGGTTTCAAGTTGGAGAGGTAGGGTCGCTTTGGGTTTCAAGTTGGAGGGATAAACCTATGACCCACTCACGTGGACCTCGAGTTGCATTGAGTGAATTGGAATTTTTTTAAAAATCAAAATCAAAATCAAAATTAAAATTAAAAATTTTCCAATTATCCAGTTTCAATAAAAAAATCTAATATTAATAAATTAATTGGCCAAAAAATCTATTAAACTAAAATTAAAACTAATAATCTTATAAATTAAAACAATTTTACGTTTTTTATTTAAAATTTAAAATTAAAACTGCATTTAAGTGATATTTTAAATTTAAAAAAATTAATTAATTTTTGTCGGGTCACTCCAAGTTGACATGACCCTAACCCTAACTTGAATTAGTTAACCTGCAGGTCTATAGGACCGACTCATTTCAGATTATGGGTTCAGACTGTACCCAGGACCCAACCTACCAGCTTTGGGTCAGGTCAGGTCAGTTCTGGAACAAGTTTGCCAAGTCTACTTCTATTATGTGGATGATGGTTTTGGCCTAAGGAGGTGAAAAATAATACGAGCAAGGTCAAAAGACTAAAACAACCCAAAAGAAATGAAGCTAATTTGCTATAGATTTAAAGAGTTGGGATAGATATGATATTTTACAGAATTTTATCTATAGAAGATGTGATAGCCCACCATCCATTATGCACCCTGGTGGGCTCTGGCAGTTGCTATCCATTCTGCACCCAGTGAGGGCTATTTGAATCTGGGAACACTATGAAGAGCTTCAAAGTTGATGGTAAAACTCTGCTACACTATGCTGCTATTGACAGCACTAACATATAATTTGAGATGGAAGTAAAATCATCATATTCAAGATAACAGTTTGACATATTTTGTTAAATTGAACTTCTGATATCGTGCATGCAAAGTGTATAGGTGGTGTGTGGTTTGGAACGACATGGGTTTTGATGATAATGTTATCATTTATTCTAAAACAGTGAATTAAGTTTGAAATTGTGTGAAACCTTTGAGAATGTTATGGTGCTATTAATCATTCTATCATTTGAACTTGTCTTAATTTTAGTAAAATTTGTTGATGTGTATGTGTTTGAGAAGCTATGACTACCAGTAATGCAATGTTTGATACTCCAACTAGCCACACTTCATACTTCTTAAAGACAATTAGTACATGGTCTGTAAACTGTTTTGAGAATTAGAACCTAAATTATAGTTCTTCATTGTTAAGAGAACTGTATCTGAGATTCAAATCCTACCCTAGTAGGATTCAAATCATTGAGGCAGTAAGCAATGGATTGACTAGACATGTCAGATTGGAATCCTTCCAAGGAATTCAATCCTCAATGCTGAACACAAGTTTAAGCTTCAGATTAGGGCTTGATTAAGTTATGTTATCCTATCAAAATAAATAGTAATGGCACACAACAGAATGTGTAACCACATATTCAACCATTCTTCTCTTGCAGGTGCAGCTGCTCCTAGGGCACCACCTTTTTCACATTGCCCCAAGGAGATTATAGAGGTTTTAGACAATCAAAATTTGTTAGCTCCCATCACGATTGGTTTCATAGCAATGTCTGTAGTGGAAAAGATGTCCACCTTTGGATCTTCTTGGTTGACTGAAAATAAACTTTGTGATCTAGCTCCTGCCTTTCTTGAGGAATATCTGGCTTCTCATTCTGTGTGATTGAGTTTTTCTCCACTTGGGTTGAATGATGGGCACTGCTTTAAGACTACAAGTGGTTCAAGCAGTTTTATTTTTGTTGAAAGTTTATGTATTACTTTAGTACTTTGGCTTATTTATATTTGATAATTTAGTGAACTATATTGTCATGTTAGTATTTAGTTTTTTTGGCCAACATTTTTGTTTTAGTCTACTTAGAGTCTTGTATCCTATAAATCTTAAGAGTTTTGTATGCCTATAAACAATCTTTGTTAAAAACTTTACAATGAGACCTTGAGAATAATTTCAAAAACCTTAATTCTCCTATTTATCCTCAAACCTTTGCCTCTCTTTCTCTTGGTTCTACATTGATTTACTATTAGAGCATCAAGATCCAAGACATGCAAACCTAAAGCAAAAAGAGAAAAAAAAAATTCTGCTACACCCACCAGAAACTTTAGTAGTTCCTTGGTTGAAAATCAAAGCCCAAAACCTCACCATCGACTTCATTCTAGACATGAAAAACCAGAAATAAGGCAACTTTTTTCTTTTTTTGGAAAAAGCATGAACCTGGAAAAGTTCAGCTAAGAATCTACCTGTTCCTCGGTTTTTTTTTTTTTTTTTTGTCCTTCTATTGCTCCCCGTATAGTTTTGCTACAACTTTATAAGCAGACTTTGATGAATTGAAAATACTTCCAAAACCCCTCATTCTTGTTTTTCACTTGGTTCTACATCATTAATTGTTTCAAGTACAAGTTTAAGATGCGTTCTAGAGTTCCTTTGTTGCATTGTTTTGCAAAGTATTGGTCGGGCCTTCCCAAAGATCCAAAGAGACTTCAAAGGGGGTGTGAACATCTTACGTAACCAAATTTCATAAACAACCCTACAGCTAAATATTGCAAAACCAATCATGAAAACATAGTTTTACTCAGTATTATAAAATTTACCAAAACCAAATTAAATAAAATTCATAAAATAAAAACCCAAACTTCAAAAATTCAACAACAAATAACAACAAAGGAATTAGTTTATTGTTAATCCCTGTACTTTGTTTGAAAATGAATCTTGGTCCCTCAACTAAGTAGAAGTGTATTTATGTATCATACATTTGAAATAATTGGCTATTTTTAGCAGTTATAACATGTTATTGCTGGAGAAAGATAGGAAGAGAAAAATTATAACTTGATTATGGTTTATTGTCGCACAATAATCCTTTTATCAAGATGCAAAATGTAAACTGCTGATGAAATGTTATTTTGATTTGCAATAACCAATAATTGTAATAGAGGCCCATGTCAGCAAGTGTGGTTAATTCTTTTAATATGCAGTGAAATCAACTTCAAAAGTTGAAAGACTTGATTGTTGGAAAAAAATTTGTAAGGACTATATTGAATTTTCAATCCACCCACAAAGGCTAATGGGGCACTTATTCCCACCATTTCTATTTAATTCATTAGCCTCTGCATCAAATATTCACATTTTCCTTTCTTCAATAAGCAGATGTACCTAAATATAAAGCTGAGGTGGAGAAGAGTTACGGGATGAAGTAATGCTTGCAAAAAAAACATAACTAATTACATGCATGTGCAATATAAATTAGTTAACCATACCTTAGCATGAATGTATTTCTCCTTGTTGTAAATGGAGTCATTGGAGCAAGGTTTTGTAATTGATGCGCTAACAATTTCTGGCTTATCAACTCTGCAAAAAGATTGATTCAGTAGGCACCCAAGAGAAGAAAGATGGTAAAATGCTAAATGCAATCTGAAACATCAAAACCAACAGTCGTGGAGCAAATCAAATGCAGCTCAATTAGCATATGTAGTGTGTAAGACTTGTATATAAGTGAATTCCTCCTCACAAAAAAAATCAAGTAAAACAAGAGGGATTTTCTATTGCATGCCCTAAAGTACAATTAATGAGGTATCTAAGCGGTATCTTTTCGAAAACTAATAGGAGTTTTAATTAATTATTTCCGACTACTTCTTATTACTCTTTTT